GGAAACATGTCATAAGAAAACGCGTCCAATTGGCTGTCAAACATGATTTGTTTGGACTTCAAACATCACATGTTTTACTGCAAACATTTATGTTTCAACTGTCAACTGTCAATATTCCAGATTTAGAAACACATTCATATTGGGCGGGGATTAGCTTGGAAACAGTAAATCCGTGATTAAATTCGTCTGAATTAAATTCAACGTATGAAACAGGCCTTAGTGAAGTTCTAACATGCTGTAAATTTTTGAGTTTTGCATTTATAGTGGACAAATTCAGTATTGTTTGCAATGTTTGTACTAACTTTGTTACGTTTTCGCGGGAAAAATAATTGTAAACCGTCAAATGTTTCCAGCAAAATCATGTAAAGTTTGAAGTCCAAACATGTTATGTTTCATGTCCGATTAGATCGCGTTTTCTCATGACGTGTTTCCGCTTAGTTGCAATCGACGGTAACTGTTAAGACTATCTGGCAAAGTTAATAAATTAAACTAACAATTTCTCTTATGCAACCAAATGAACCTGTCTTGAAAGTGTACTGGCAGGGTACCTGTGGTTCCGGTTTCATATCGTGAAAAAATTAGGGTCGGTAGGTCGGAAATACTTTTTTTTTTAAATATTTTTTTCATGGTTTTGGCGGTTTTTTTTTGCTGGGTGATTTGCAGTAGAGTCCCGACATCAATATTAACTAGAGATGCCTATTTCCTATGGACGAATTTAGGCAATTGGTTCAATAATTAGTGTGACAACAGACGCCATTTTGGCACGCTATATGAGCGGCCCGCAACCACCTGGAGAAAATAGGGTCGCACAGTCAATCGTGTTGAAAAAATAATAGGGTCGGCAGAAAAAAAGTAGGGTCGGTCGGGAACCGGAACCACAGGTATTTTTTTTTACGCCTGATGGAAAAGTGTCAGTGCATTCATCACCCCTGCACTAGAATTTTCCAATCTGAATAAGTTGGCCTATTAAATAATGGCCAGAATGTAACTATAAAATATCAATAATTATGTAACAAAATGAATATTATAATTATACACACACGACTATAAAAGCTGAGCTAAATAAATAAAAGGATGATTTTGCACATGGAAAATGTAATACATATTTATATATATAAAAGATACAATAGCTTTTTAAAAAATCTTAGAAACATATTAATATTAATAATACAGTACACATCAAAATATCAAATTACTATGGCTGGTTGGACTTTGGACTCAAAGCTACACAAATGTTCACAAACACATTTAAGTTTTAACCGAGCATTTAACTAAAAGTAGAGAAAGAAACTAATGCTCGAATTAAACAACACTTTGCTGCATAACATTTTTGCTGAAATAAGTGTTGTTTATGTACATATATTTCATAATTTATACGGATTTATTTACGTCAACAATGGCCCGCATATTGAAAATATGTCAAAACAAATATGCGAATATTCTCGTGATTCTCCAATGGAAACGAACCTTGATAGTGTCCAAAGGATGGCCTGCAGCTACAAGACATACTCCACCAACTCCACCAGCCAGGAAATTTTTTAAAGCTGAGGAACTACCGCTACTATCTCCCTTCTTTTCTTCTGCCATTTTGCTATGCTATTGCCAGAATGCCAGTGCCAATATGTTGATATTACATGAAGTAATCTTACCACGTCAGCAATGTTAGGTGGCTCTCCGTCATCAATTGGGCAAAGATTTTGTTTCGATCACCATGACGACAAAGTTGAAGTTTGAAGTCAAAATAAAACATGGAGGAAAATCTGACTTGATGTGCGACGTTTTGGTTGTTTAACCATATAACTAACGTCTGTAAGTGTTCCTGAAGGAGAAAATGCAAAACTTTGGATCTACATTACTGCAATGAAACTTTTTTGAAGCGCGTAGACAAACAACGAATTGCGATTTGGACAAATATTAATATATAATAATTATATAAAATCTATAAAGGCAACTATGGCAGGCACGTTGACTTCTCTAGCTCCTGGGAAAGTTAGCTCACATTGGAAACTATTAAAGTCCTTGATAAATACAGACGAAGAAGAAGAGAATGGAAAACTTAAGGGAATAGATGTTGATACATTTCCAAAAGTTATAAGTCATGGAATGCATCGTCAACTGAGTCAAGGCAAAATAAACATTAAAAATCCACCAGGACAAACGTTAAAGTTTGTGGCACTTAATTCTACGTTGGATTGTTACGCTACATTGAACAACGAAGGCAAGATTACAGTTGCCACTACAAATGGGAAGGTCAAACGAATCAAGTCAGATGAATGTTACACAGGGATGATTTTTTCAACAAAGTCAAAACAATGCATTTGTTGGGGTGATAGCGATAAGTTAAAGGTAGTATACAACTATCATGTGTGGGGAATTTGCAGGACCTGGTCATGTGATGGCCCAACCCTTAAATCAAGCAGTACTGTAGTACTGTACAACTGTACAGTACAACCAGGGTTTCAATATAACAGCAGAATCAAGCTATAGTGGACCAGAGTATAGGTTGATTCAAACACCCTTCCCAATGAAACATCTTTTATGGATCTCGCCGAACTGTGGTGTCGTATCAAAAATTCATATCACTACCACTCCCACAAATGTCTATAGCCACACCCACATAATTTTGAAATGTTTGCAATTCTAGTTTTAAACTGCCAATCAAAGGTTTATAGTAATTGTTACCAGGAACTGGATTGGCTATTTAAAATTAGAATTGCTAACTTGCAAAAATATGTAGGAGTGGGCCACAGACATTTGTGGGTGTGATGGCGATTAGCCTGCGAACAGGCTCTCAAGGTGAAATGAGAGCCTGCATCGATGACTAATGAATTTCAATATCTGCATCTCAAATCGTGATGCAAAATTCTCATTGGTCAGATGCTATAATTTATATGTTTCCGCTGAGCTCTATATATCAAATTTGTCAAGCAAACTTGCACGGTCTAAATTTAGTTTCCACGAAAGTTGTAAACAACACCATATAAGGATAGACATTCCATATTTGGAAAATGAACGTTACGGGGCAGATATTCAAAATTGTATATCATCAGTGCAGGCTCTCATTTCACCTTGAGAGCCTGTCCGCAGGCTAGATGGCGATATAAATTTTTGCTGCAATATGCCACATGCAGTTTGGTGAGATCTATTATAATTACAGCCATTTAGCAAAAGTCCTGAGTAAAACTGTCATAAGATTATAATAATTAAATACACTAAGTATACAATAGGAATCACAGTTCAAATTTATGACACAACACTGGATTATATATATATATTTATATTCTAGCTGTTAGAATGAGTTCTCTAGGTGGTGTGATACAAGGCTGCATGGTCCAGGCAGATCCCAAGAGGTTTCCTGTGAGAATTAAGGCCCGCACCCAACTATATTTAGGACATGAAATTGAATGGTCATACCTACGTTTCCCCCACAACCTTATAAAGTTGACACATGCCATTCTTGGTGTTACTTAATTATTAATGAAATATTAAGGTGGCTCAATACACTGTTTTTTAAAAAATGGAAAATTCACGATTTAGATGCGTATTTTTGGACAATTATTACTTGTTGATAAACAAAAAGTACATTACTTATATAAAACAACATCTAAAGAGTTTGAATTTTTGCACAAAAGTTACGTCACTGCTGTTGCTATGGCAACAATGACGTTTCAAAATGGCAGATACCTGTATTAGTTGGCTTTAAAGCCATTTAACTCGTAAACGACATCGGTGACCCCCAAATTTTATTTAAAAAAATGATTTCTCTTAGTATAATCAGTTATCTTAACAATTTAAAAAAATTCTGTTGAGCCAAAAAAAAATTATGAATAATCACCTTTACGTAATTTTAAAAATTTCGACTCCGCAGAATATTTTTTAAATTGTCAAAATAATTGATAAAACTAAGAGAAATCATTTTTTAAAATAAAATTTGGGGGTCACTGATGTCGGTTACGAGTTAAATTACTTTAAAGCCAAAATATCCACCATCTGAAACGTTATTGTTGCCATAGCAACGGCAGTTACGTAAATTTTTAAAAAAATGCAAACTCTTTAGATGTTGTTTTATATAAGTAAGGTACCTTTTGTTTATCAACAAGTAATAATTGTCCAAAAATACGCATCTAAATCATGAATTTTCCATTTTTTTAAAAACTGTATTGAGCCACCTTAAAATGCAATAGTTTAATCCAATATTGTAGCACAGAATAAGAAGGTACAGCAGAAGTGTAACTCAAGCAACTATTTGTCCACGTTTTTACAATCACGCCATCCTGGCTAGTACAACCGGCACTTTGCACCTACCAAAACCTGATAAAAACTTCCGGTTGTACTAGCCAGGATGGCGTGAGCAAGTTAAAATTTTCGTGGACGTAAAACAATAAGGGAACCGACTCGAGTTACACTTCTGCTGTACCTTCTTATTCTTGTGATTGTAGTATCTACTTTTGTTTCCTGTGTATTATAACTTTTCTTTGCTTTTGTATGTAGTTGATGAATGAATCATTTAAACCAGTTAGTACATCCCAGTCTGTGGCAGTTATTCATTGGTAGGTCTATTCCTGTGTTCTTTATTATTTGAATATTTCAATATTAAGCTGCCCTAATTTCATTTAGTAGACAGGTCTGACAGGAATTAATGCTCATTGCTGAAGGCAAACAATAACAACAAAATGACACTGCCTAGTAGTATATGGTTGCGTCAACGGCGGCGGAACAGTTTTTAATTTGGAGCGGGGCTAATTTCCATAAATTGTCTGGAAATGTTCACATAAATAGTTCCCCCAGAAATGTTGGCGATGGGGGAATGGGGGGGGGGGGGAATTGACCTAATATATATCCTACTTGATATTTTTAATATTACACATCATGCTGCTTTCCTGAATGTTTTCTCTAAATTTGCCAATTTTTATAAACTTGAAAATTTGGAATCCATGCAGGTAGTTTTTTGTTTTATTTGGGGAGGGGGGACTTCAGTCACCTATGGCGGGTTGCCTCGTCCCACAAACCGTTTTGATTTTTAATTAATGACGAGGTCCCGCAATTTTACACCTATGTATTTCAGATTTATCTGCTGTTCTAACGTGACGCATGCCATTATGGATGACACAATGTACTGAAACAATTCAAAAAAATTAATCAAAGCAAATTAAATCAATCTTAATTTCTTCAATACCATCTGTTTCGATCCTCTTGCAGTTTTTGTCTTGCATTGACTTTTTTGTACTATGCCGTCAGGGCTGTCGCGCTTTAGATCTTCATATTTCCCGTATATTGCGCATTCTACTTTAATGCAGTATGAAAACATAAACATCTCCCTCCATTTTTCATCCGTAACATTTATAGTCTGTGCAGATTTTTTGCGACAAACGTCACGTTGTATTGATGAGCAGTCATACTTGGCCACGTTTTTTTCGCACATCAATAAACCTAACTTCACATCAACACAATCATACAGTCCAAGCAGTTAATCAGTGGTGTCAAGTAACGAAGTAAATGTACTTCGTTACTTAGCCTGCGAATACAGACGCCTCTAGAGGCTATTCGTTACTGTACTTAAGTACAATTTTTGAGAAGTCAGCATGTAACAAAGTAAACTTTTTCTGCAGTACTTTTACTTGGAACGAAGTCATTTTAAGAAGTAACGTTTTACCTCGTTATTTTCATTTTGTGGCGAAGTATTTCGTTACTTTGTAACTTTTGTTTAATTTTAATTTTAAGTGATTTATTTCTGATTTATTTTAATTTTTGGATTGGTAATAGGACCTCTACATGCGTCTGGGATCTCTCGTTTGTGACTTACTTATAAGCATTATTTATTTAATGTATTTCTTACATCTTCAACGGGTTCTGGAAAGTAAACCATGCCATGTATTGTATATTCGGTGCACGCATATAATGCGTGTGCTGTTTCGTGTCTTTTGTATCTTAATCTATTGGAAAAGTCCCCCCCATACAATAGCTACTTTTACTCTGACTTTGTACTTCAGGTATTTTTTAAGGATACTTTGTACTTTTTACTTAAGTACGTTTTGCTTCCAGTACTTGTTACTCTTACTCAAGTCGTTTTATTGTTAATTACTTCTAGTTTTACTCGAGTACAAATTCAAGGTAACTTTTAGGCACCTCTGCAGTTAATTCCGCCGCTTACTTTTGAGTGATGTTTATGTACAGGTTGAAAATTGAAAAAACAACAACACGTCATGCTAGCGAATTTAAACTTGCTTTGATTTTAAACTTTTTCTTTTAATTTTTTTCCTTGTACTTTTTAATCTAGTGCCGTGTACAACAATTCAACTCACGAAGTAATAACGGCAGGAGATGAAAATATTACTGTAAGTACGTTAAAACTGTATATAATTAATTTATTACAACCTGGTTATAACCTAAACTATATACAACCCTATGTATACTTGGTAAAACTTGGTATGAAACAAACTCCAGATAGAAGTTGCATCTTGAACTCAATTAGCCATTCCGAAGTTGATGAGTGGACTGGGGACGAGTGTTAAAAAGTGGCCAAATTAAGAAATGAACCAAATCACTAAAAAGACCACCTCAAAATTAGTAAGTATACAAAGTTTGAAGACGTTTACATGAATATCCT